GCCTCTACTCGTGCATCACTCTGAAACTCCCAGAGTGTTCAAGAAAAATAATGTTGTCAAGGCTAATTTGTGTGTGATGTGGAGGGCAAACAGTAAGGTATGGGTCACTAGGGACATTTTCTATGATTGGTTTTATCATGTGTTTGGCCCCACTGTGAAAAATTACCTCCTGGAAAATAAATTGGACCTCAAGTGTCTCCTGGTATTAGACAATGCTCCTGCTCATCCTTCAGACATACCAGAGCGAATTTTGGGGGAGTTGAGCTTCATAAAAGTGAAGTTCTTGCCTCCTAATACCACTCGTCTTCTCCAGCCCATGGACCAGCAGGTCATTTCAAATTTCAAAAAACTGTACACCTGCTAAAGCAATGTCTCAAAAGTGCTTTGGAGTGACCTCAGACACTCAATTGACCCTAAGAGACTTTTGGAAAGATCATTTTAGTATCCTCATTTGCATAAACCTTATAGGTAAGGCTTGGGAGGGAGTGACTAACAGGACCCTGAACTCTGCTTGGAGGAAATTGTGGCCAGAATGTGTACAAGAGAGGGATTTTGAAGGGTTTGGGGCTAACCCTCAGGAGCCTATGCCAGTTTTGGAATCTATTGTGGCATTGGGGAAGTCCATGGGGTTGGAGGTTAGTGGGGAGGATGTGGAAGAGTTGGTGGAGGACAACGATGAAGAACTAACCACTGATGAGCTGCAAGAACACCTTAAAGATTACCTCTCTACTTATTCCATTATCTCCACTCATCACTACAGCTTCAATCAAGGTAAGTGTTATTTATTCTTCATTTAGTGCAGTAATTACTGTGCATGTATCCTTCTTTGTCTGTGTACGAAAATGTATATTTCATGTGAAAAAAAAAAAATTCATACTTTTGGGTGTCTGGAACGGATTAATTGGATTTCCATTATTTCTTATGGGGAAAATTAATTCGACTAACGATAAATTTGCCTGAAGATAAGCTCTCTGGAACGGATTAATATCATTGTTCGAGGTCCACTGTATATTCAAGGACATTTTTCTTTTCTCTTCATGAATAAAGTTTTTGGTCTACAGGTGGGTGGTCCATTGAGGCAATGCACCACCCACCTTTTTTTCATCAGTTCTATGGTTCACTTCATCTCTCATACACCCATCTGCCATCAAGTCCATTCCCAAGTGAGTGTAAAACGAAAGCCTGTAATTGTTTTACATGATGGTAGGATTGCTGGTGTCCTTTTTTCTGTCTCATAAAAATGCAAGATTTCAGGTACGTCTTGCTACTTCTACTTACACTTAGGTCACACTACACATGCATGTACAAGCATATATATGTATATATACACATCCCTCTGGGTTTTCTTCTATTTTCTTTCTAGTTCTTGTTCTTGTTTATTTCCTCTTATCTCCATGGGAAAGTGGAACAGAATTCTTCCTCCGTAAGCCATGCGTTGTAAGAGGCGACTAAAATGCCGGGAGCAAGGGGCTAGTAACCCCTTCTCCCGTATAAATTACTAAATTTAAAAAGAGAAACTTTCGTTTTTCTTTTTTGGGCCACCCTGCCTTGGTGGGATACGGCCGGTTTGTTGAAAAAAAAAAAAATTTTTTTTATTAACACATCGGCAGATTCCCACCAAGGCAGGGTGGCCCGAAAAAAGAAAAACTTTCATCATCATTTATTCCATCACAGTCTTGCCAGAGGGGTGCTTTACACTACAGTTATAAAATCACAACATTAACACCCCTCCTTCAGAGTGTAGACACTGTACTTCCCATCTCCAGGACTCAAGTCCGGCCTGCCGGTTTCCCTGAATCCCTTCATAAATGTTACTTTGCTCACACTCCAACAGCGTCAAGTATTAAAAACCATTTGTCTCCATTCACTCCTATCAAATACGCTCATGCACGCTTGCTGAAAGTCCAAGCCCCTTGCACATAAAACCTCCTTCATCCACTCCCTCCAACTCCCAAATATCTGAACAAATACATTTACTTCCTCCGTACTCCAATCTTTCATTGCATAGAATTTTTGTTACTCTATCCTCTTGCTCTTTTTTGTGCTCACCTTTAACTTTCTTTTTTAACATACCCTCCCAAAATTCTTCCTCCACCAACCTTTGCAACTCCTCTTCAGAATCTCCCAGTAGAACAGTGCTGTTGGTAAAAAGCGACAACTACCTCCTTGTATCATTATCTTTTATTTCATCACATCTCCCCAAGACCCTAGACCCTCATCTATAAATGTTCCATGGTAATATTGCAAATCCCTGTCTAAGGCCTTTTATTGAAAAATATTCCCTCCTTCATTCTACATCCCCCTAACCTGAGTCTCACTATCCACATAAAATCTCTTTACTGCTTTTAGTAACTTACTGACTATTCTATATATTTGCCAAATTGCTACCTAGTTATATGCCTTTTCAAAATATATTAATGCAACAAAAAATTCCTCAGCTTTATCTAAGTAATATTCACTTATGTTTCAATATTATTAAACACTTGGTCTATACATACCCTGCCCTTCCCACCTTGTTTCTCTGCAGTCCTACTTTGTCTTGCCTTTATTCTTTCAATAATTCAATCATACACTCTACTCTGTATATTCAACACATCTAATAACACACATGGAGGCAAACTAGGAAGATTAATTGGTCTGTACATTTCGATCCCCTTCTGGGATACTCTTCAGCAGATCTGCTCTAACCCACAGGACCACGCAATCCTACAAGAATGTGTTTTCGCTCACCATGAGGCGGGCCAAAGCAGCATGGGTTCAAGTCCTTGGCTAGTCGTAGTGTTGTTATTAATCAATACCACTCATTCATGGTTACAATATAAAAAACTGCTCGTTGGGCTAGTACACCAAACGGAGTAGAATGAAATTAGCTCAGAGGCATCGACACCACCATATGTCCTTGGATGACGGTAAAACACCTAGCTTGGCTGGGTGTGTCATTCTTGTAGGATTGCGTGGTCCTGTGGGTTAGAGCGTCATGTGTTTTTGCTCACCATGAGGCGGGCCAAAGCAGCACGAGTTCAAGTCCTTGGCTAGTCGCAGTGTTATTATTGATCAATACCACTCATTCGTGATTACAATAATATATATATATATATATATATATATATATATATATATATATATATACAGTGGACCCCCGGTTAACGATATTTTTTCACTCCAGAAGTATGTTCAGGTGCCAGTACTGACCGAATTTGTTCCCATAAGGAATATTGTGAAGTAGATTAGTCCATTTCAGACCCCCAAACAAACACATACAAACGCACTTACATAAATACACTTAAAATTGGTCCACGTTCTGAGGTAATCGTTATGGGGGGGCCACTGTAATTATATATATAAATTATATATATTATATAAATAATAAAAATAATATATAACAATTAAAAAAAAAAATAAAAAACATATAAACTGGGGGTTTAGTTTTGTGTGAATGCCTCGAACTTATTGTAAGTTAATTTTTTGGTCAAGGTTGCTCGAATCTCCCTGCTCACCTGTTCCTTGGGCTTATATCGTGGTTCAAGCACCCTCCACAACCACGTGTACGACCTGACACCTGGATTTGACGCCGTCAAGAACAAAAGACCTCAGACGTGGGCGTGGCTACAGACATTTGCCAAGGCAAGGTGTGACCATATAATTGGTTAAATTAGGTCTCCCCAGAGACCTCACAAGCCCAGCTGAACTACATCACAACTTGTTGGAAAAAAAAAAAAAAAAAAAAAAAAACGTGCATGTGTGACCTATGTTTAAGTAGAAGTAGCAAGACGTACCTGAAATCTTGCATGTTAATGAGAGAAAAAAGACATCAGCAATCCTATCATCAATTACAGGTTTGTTTTACACTCACATGGCAGGATGGTAGTACCTCCCTGGGTGGTTGGCACAGTTACTTTTTGCTGATGACACTGTGCTTTTGGGATATTCTAAAGAGAAGTTGCAAAGGTTAGTGGACAAGTTTGGGAGGGTGTATAAAGGAAGTTGAAAGTGAACATAGATAAGAGTATGGTGATTAGGGTATCAAATGAGTTAGGTAAGGAAAAACTGGATATCATATTGGAGGGAGGGAGTTGGAAGAAGTCAGTGTGTTCAGATATTTGGGAGTAGACATGTTGGCAGTTGGGTATATGAAGGAAAAAATATGGGTGGTGCACTGAGGTATCTGTGTAGACAAAGGAGGGAATGTATGAACACTTAAATGGGTGTGAAGCATGAGTTGTGAATGTTGCAGCAAGGAGGAGGCTGGAGACAGTGGAGATGTCATATGTAAAGGCAATGTGTGGCATAAATATTATGCAGAGAATTCGTAGTGGAAATTAGGTGCAGAGTTACTAAAGGTATTATTCAGAAGGCTGAGGAGTTGAGATGGTTTGGTCATTTTGAGAGGATAGAAGAAAATAGGATGACTTGAAGGGTGTATAAATCTGTAGTGGAAAGAAGGCAGGGTAAGGGTCATCCTAGGAAAGGATGGAGGGAGAAAGTAGAAGAGGTTTTATGTGCAAGGGGCTTGGACATACAGCAGTCATGTGTAAGCATGTTAAGATAGGAGTGGAGACAAATGGTTTTTGGGACTTGACAAGCTGTTGGAGTGTAAGCAGGGGAATATTTTGTGAAGGGATTCAGGGAAATTGGTTAGCCAGACTTGAGTCCTGAAGGTGAGAAATACAGTGCCTGCACTCTTAAATGAGGAGTTTGGGATATTTGCTGTTAAGAGTGATAGCTAAACTGTCATATCTGAGAGCCTCTGGAATGTCAGTGATAGTGTGAATGATGGTGAAAGTATTCTTTTTTGGGTCACCCTACCTCAGTGGGAAAGGGCCAGTGTGTTACAATGAATTCTTGTCACATGGTCCAGGACAAACCAAAACATATGTACTAATAATAATAATAATAATAATAATAATAATAAAATCAGAAGTGCTAAACCCTCCAAAACATTACATGGTACAATGACTTTTTATTCTTTGTTCATTATTATTTTCATTTGGGGAGTTGGTGGAATTATTTGGGGAGAGGGAATAGGGGTTCAGCTTTCCCTGGTTGGTAGCACTACCAATGTCCATTTGTGACATCAAGAGGACCTTCCTTAAAGTATGAGTGTAGCTTGGTGTAGGCAATAACTCTGGCAAATTGTGAAGCCTGGTCATGGACCATACTGTGGGGGCATTGACCCACGACACTCCCTCCTTCCAGGTATACACAACACTGGTATATTAGGAAGAGGAAAACCCAGAAATATGGTATATAGTTGGTATATTTAAATTTGTAACACTGTGCTATATAAATGACTTCAAATAATAAAGTACATTAATAAATTTCTTCATAAAAACAATTTTTTTTCCATTAAATCAAATAACATTTTGCACTTAAAGTAAGCAATGGCAAATTTTATAACATAATTTCAACAATTTTGATAAAAGGCAAATGAAATAAAAAATATTTTTTTTCAATAAATTTGGCCTCAATGGCTTACATCACTCGAAATAATTTTCTCACAGAAAATATAGTTCAGAGCAGAGCAGGCTATTATATTTAAAGTAATTCCAAATAATACGGATTCTAAGGGCTTCCAGCTGTAGAATTACAAGAAGACAAGATCAATAATAATATCAATAATAATAATAATAGCAATAATAATAATAATAGTGATTTTGAACTTACATCATAAAAACAAGCCAAAAATTTGTACATTCATTATAAACACATGGCTAGGAATAACATGGCCAATATGGAACTGATGTGCTCTCGGATTAACCTATATACACTACCGTGACTCAGGATATGAGCTAACACTAGCATGAAAATGTGAAAAAATAGACTTCGCCTTTCAGTAAGAACCGTGCACATCAGCTCATATTGTTGAATATATATATATATAGCAAAGCATATGTGAAAAAATCTGTAAAAAGTACAAAGACCTACTATTTACACCACTATTATCTGCTTGTATGCATATTACGTCAGTAGGGAGGTGGGTGGGAGAAGGAAATAGGACGACAACTGATGATTATGGCTAACAAGGAAGGGAATAGTGTAAATATCTCAAAAGGATATTCTCTGTCCCTTTTCTACCTATACAGCAGACATCCTTTCAGCCACATTCATCAAATACAACAATAAAAGGAAAAACAAATATCCAGTAATGAAGCTAATCAAATGGTACTGCATTTCTCTTCATTTTTATAATGAGGTATGGGCGTAAAAAGTTAATTGATGCTTCACAAGTAACGAGTGATGGCCTGCATGCTCATCAGCTTATGATTTTGCTTGTATGTCTGTTAGTGAGGGATACACCTTTTTTCTCACCTTTTTTTTTCATTTTTACTATTTTAAGTACAAAACTGAGCAATGAGGAGGAGGGGGTTCACCGACATAAAATAAGGCCTCAAAAAAAAAAAAAAAGGAATTGGCCATGGCATTACAAAATTTGATATACTATTAAATTCACTCTTTAATGCAATCGAATAATGAACCCTCGACTAATTTTCTTGAGCATGATACAGCATGTGACGTGTACAGATTCTGAGGCACTAACATCTATACTTCAGTCAGGGACATTCTAAAATGATATCCCAAAATAAGCAATTCTTTTGATAACTAATAAGCAATTTTATCCTCTAAATACAGGCAGAGGCTTTCAGGCATTATTAAAAAGCATAGCTCATTTTCTTCCAGAATCATGAGCCTCAAATTTTCTCTAGCCTCAGATATGATCCAATGACTGTGTATAAAGCTTAATAGTTGATTATTCAAAAATAAATTACCCTTCTTGAAACCTGACACAGTGTCCAAAATCATAAAAACAGCATCACCTGCAAACTACCTACTCTGCTAAAATTAAATATGTGGGTCTGCACACCACCACTTTTTGTCTTTTATTCATCTACCACGAGGAAATATGAGACTCAGAATTGTCATTCACACCGAGGAAGGATCAGAAACTCAAGCCAATCCATCTGTATGGGCTTTCAGGGATGAATGTGACTGGGAAATAAGTAAGAGGGCGCAGCCAAGAGGTACTCTCAGAGTCTTGGTTACCAGAATGTCACAAAACTTGTTTCTGTTTCTTAGAAACCTATTATCACTAGGATGAAAGGTCCATGAGGAAAAAGAGGGATCTTGATATCAAATTGTCTTCTTTCCCTTTCCCCTCCGTGTTTTATAAATACAAGGTGAGTTGAGGCACTCTTGAAAGCTCTGGTAGCTTGGTGTATAGCTTCACACAAAGCATTCATATGAAGAAATGACAACCAAAAGGTTTATTGGGAAAATTCGTACTTTTATAAATACTTGTGACTTAAACAAACATTGAATCAGTAAAACAAAAAACGCTAAAGCAATGCAAGTGCTGTACTTATTGAAAAAGAATCAAATGTCCTCTTTAGTTAATGTCTTGGTTATTCCCCTTTAAACAGTTGCAATGACATTGCTGATAATCAAATAAAAGGTTATAATGGCATAATACGCCATTTATCTACAATAAAGAAGGTTCAAAACACAATAAAGGACATACAGGGGAAAATAAAGACAAATGAATATTCAGGTATGGTATAACATGGTTTTAATATATTCTTTATCAACAGAATTTAATTCTGTATTTGAACCAAGACTCTGAGAAGTTCCGCATTACAGACACACATGCAAGTCATGTGTAAGTATCTCCTTTTATTTATTTTTTTGATGTATATATATGTAGACTGGTGGGGGCTGTGTGCACGCGTGTGGGTGCACACATGCGCATGTACGTGTGTTGAGTTATGGAGTGATTTATTTTTAAACTTAAGGAGATATACACACATTATTTCATAGAAGCCTTACACTTGCTTTGGTACAATACCTGCAATATTAAAAGGATTGAAACCTTTCAATATTAGAATAAAAAACTTGTTAAAAAAAGACTAATCTTGTCTCTAAAGAACTGAAATATCCCTTACACAACTTTTATATTTTTCACATGTGACAAAGCCGATTAATCTTCATAATTTTTGGTTCATTATACGTATAACCTAGTACATAATTATTTTGAATATTGGCTTTTGACAATAGTAATACTGTTATAATAGTGGGCTATGTAAGAGACCCCGTCGAGCCGCTGAAACAATGTGAAAACCTTTAAAGTCAACCAGGAACTGATCTTCCACATTATCAAGTGCAGCACGAGAAACACATAGGCACTCAAAATATCACACATATACAATAAAGGCTGCTTATATCAAAACTTGAAAAACCTTTTGCTCTCTCTCTCTCTCTCTCTTTCAATGCTCCCTTGATATCTGCTATCCTTGATATTATGTACAATTTTAAATCATTTATATCTTACAACTAACTATACAGGTGAGTGGATTACAGCACCATCTCAACTACATTGCAATCTCAGCTGTTCAAGTTCTTCCAGCTGCTTTTTTAACTTTTCCTTCTCTTTGAGTAGCCGCTGTTCTGTTTGTTGGAGATGCTTGCAGTGTAGGGCTGCCTTTTTAAGGATCTGGAGCTTAGTGGCCTTATCAAGGATCTTGGTTTCAGGTACAAGTTGGCGGAGATACTCGAAGGAATTGCGCAGGTCCACTCTTCTCTGTCTCTCCAAGGAGTTGTGTACAGACCTACCTTCGTCAGACTTTACACGGCTCCTTCGTCTATGCTTCGTCGACTTTATTACCTTTCAAAAGAAAGGCTTTTATTAGCAGAATTGTCTTATGCCAAAAAAAAAAAACAAATGGTAAAGCTTAATTTCAAGTACAGGTACTTTTAAAGTTCTGTAATATGTTAATTAGTTTAAATATGAAATGAACATATTTTTTATTATTATTCAACATATGGTATACAAGTTATGGTATACAATATATGGTATACAAGTTGGTGTATTATACATGAGCAACACATGGGTATCTCTATTGCAGACATTTTATTTGGGCAGCAGACTTGTTCAATAAAATACCAGGGCAGCCTTCATACTAGAAATGTTAGAAGTGGATAAGTAATTTTAAGGCTTTATGTCCCTTAGCCTAGAGCAGACCCATAAAGACAAAAACTTATAATGGAGCTAAAAGTGATGCACAGTAGTTTGTATCACAAGTTGGCCTTGCCCACTTTCTGTCCTTATGACTGCTCTAGGCTAAGGGACTGAAAGCCTTAAAAATTACTTATCTGCTTCTAACAACTCTAGTATGAATGTTGTCCCTGTGTTTTATTGAACAAGCCTGCCGCCCAGATAAAATGTGCCTGCCTTGTTCACTTGTGACACAAAGTGGGCCTTGCCCACTTGTGACACTGCCTCCAACTGCTGCACTGCACTGCTGGTCCCAGTGCATGTCTCCAGCCTTATGCCTCTGTTCTAGGCTAAGGTACTGAACACCTTAAAGATTACTTCTCTTCTTATTCCATTATCTCCAATATAAAAGTTGCCTCTGTATTCGAATGATGAAGCCTGCTGCACAGGCAAAACATTCCAGCAAAAAAGATACCCAAGTGATAAACGTCTTATTGTATATTTTTAAGTTGAGAAATAAGCATTCGACTGCAAAAGACATTCTCAGAAAGCATTGGTTTCCTTCAAATGAATAAAGCCATGGTATCTGTGTTTCAAAAAGAGGGGTACGCAAGAACTTGATCCCAAGACCCACCTCCTTGTGGTAGTCCCTCATGCGTTTGGTGTAGGCTGCTGGCTTGCCCTGTGTCTTGATCTTTACTGACAGGAACCTGGTGCTTGCCACATCTTCGCTTTCAGGAGAAGTGGAACTGGTGACCCAGTTCTGTCGATTCCTCATGGCCAGTTGGAGTTGTCGCTTGACATCTACGGAGTGTTTGGACGGGACCTGAAGGCGGGAAGGAGCCGAGGCAGCTGTGGTGCAAAGGTTAGAGGTGGAAGAGTTTGAGGAGACATTGTAGCTTCCGAGAGTAATAGTTGTGGTGGTTGCTGCCTCATTGGGATCGCTGCATGTCACTACATCGACCTCATCTTCTGTAACGAAAAAAACGTGATGGTTAGTGTTGCCTAAAGAGTATATAAATCCAAACAAACAATGAAATATATAATATATATTATATATGCACAAAGCATGGGAGATGGAAATCTTCAGCTCAAGATCTTTCACACATTTCAGTGCATCATCAGGAGCTTTGTAAAGTTGCAAGAGCAGCAACAGGTAGACTTAGGGGAAGTTTTCTCAGAGGAAAGGTAGTGTGTTGATGCTGGCCTATTCCACCTCAAAGGCTTTCTGAGGCCCAATAGGCTGGCATCAACATGCTACCTTTCCTCTGAAAAAACTTCCCCTTAATCTACCTGTTGGTGCTCTTGCTACATTAGGTATCTTACCAAAAGATATCAGAAAAATGGCTGGAACAAGTGTAGAAGCCTTCAAGAAGAAACTGGACAAGTATCTTCACCAGGTGCCAGATCAACCAGGTTGTTGTGGATATGTGGGGCAGCAGGCCTCCAGCAACAGCCTGGTTGACCAGGCAAGCACCAGATAAGCCTGGCTCCAAGAGTAGTGAGACTCTCGAAATTCTTCAAAAGTATATCGAAGGGTATCCAGTAACTCAATCACTAGCTCACTCAGCTCTCACACTGTGGCCCAGGGATCGATTTCCCAGTATGGGTGGAAAACATTAGGACGTGTTCCCATAAGACACCTGCTGTTCCTATTCACCCATTAGTAAAATGGGCACTTGGGTGTTAGTCGACTGGTGTGGGTTGCATCCTGGGACAAAATTTACCTATTTTGCCAAATATTATGTTCATAACAAGGGGGTTAGTATACAGTAGTATGTCACTGATGTCAGCTAAGCCTGTATGTACATGCAGAAATAAAGATATTAAATTATTATTATTGCACAGCTACTGATGATGCACTGAAATATATGAAAGATCATGAGCTGAAGATTTCCATCCCCCTATGGTTTGTCTTGTGCCCCCTGGCAAAACAGTGATGGAGTGATGGTGAAAGTGTTTCTTCTTTTTTGGGGTCACCCTACCTCAGTGGGAGACAGCGTTTTTTTTTTTTTTTTTTTTGAAAAAAAAAAATGCATATTTATATATACATGCATGCATACAATTAGTGGTCACTTTACTGGGTACACCTGCTTGTTAATACAAATATCTAACCAGTCAATCATGTGCAGCACCTCAGTGCCTAAAAGCATAGACATGGTCAGGAAGTTCAGTTGTTATTCAAAACAAACATCAAAATGGGGAAGAAATGTGATTGATCTAAGTGGCTTTGACTCTGGAATGACTGTGCCAGACAGGGTGGTTTAAGTATCTCAAACTGCTAATTTCTTGGGATTTTTACACACAACAGTCTCTATAGTTTACAGAGAATCGTGTGCAAAGCATTGTTCTGTGGGCAAAACTGACTTGTTAATGAAAGTAGTCAGAAGAGAATGGCCCAGACTGGTTCAAGCTGACAGGAAGATGACAGTAACTTAAATAATCACATTATAACAGTGGTATGCAAAAAAGCATCTCTGAATGCACACTATGTTGAATGTTGAAGTGGATGGACTACAGCAGAAGACCACACTGGGTTCCACCCCTGTCAGCTACGAACAAGAAATAAGGCTATAGTGGGCACAGGCTCACAAAACCAGACAGTTGAAGATTTAAGAAAAAATTTGCCTGATCTGAAATACCGATTTCTGCTGCAACGTGCAGAAAGTAAGGTCAGATTTTGGCATAAGCCTTTGGATGTTGTGGAATGGGAGATTTGCAGAATGAATGTGCAGATAACAAATCTAAAGCAACTGCATGATGCTTCATGTCAACGTAGACCAGAATCTAAGGAATGTTTCCAGCACCTTGTTGAACCTATGCCACAAAGAATTCAGTCTATTCTGTGGGACAAAGTGGGCCTCTACCCAGTAACATATAGGTGTATTTAATAAATTGGCTACTAAGTGTTATATATTATATATTCATGTACATATATAATTTCTATTCCATTTAGCCATTTCCCCACTGCAAAACTCCTGATGAAGCACTGGTGACTGCACAAGGCCTTGAGCTTGTTTATATACAATTACAATTACACACACACACACACACACACCACACACACACACACACACACACACACACACACAAGCTCTACAATTAAACAGTCCCCATTTTAATAGTTTGTGCCCATAGAGCTGACTGATTGTACTGCATACCCTTACAGGTTTAGCACTTTGACATAATATATGATGAAGGATGTGACTACCATCCACCCACACGATGGGGTACTAAAACAAATAAACAGAGCAGGAAGAGACGTCGAAGTGAGACACTGTTGCGTTCCTCTCATGCCTGGGGCTCTGGGTCCCCTAGTCTGGCATTCCCAGCCAGTAGCCAGCTTCAGCTAGTGCCCGGGCAGCCACTAAGCACAGCTAGGCTCCCTGGCATTCCTCACCACACATGCCAGAGTCCACTGTAAGGCACCTCTGGTCCACCCCAACACTTTCGTGAAGATGGCCCAATGAGTAAGAAGTTATTTATTCCTCTTGATCCCTTTTAAAGGGGTTCTTGATGCTGGTGAAGGGTTCTTGTTACGGGGGAATTGGAACAACCCTCCTATTCTTCAGATAAAACCTAATTAACTTTTGATAGGCAGGGTATGACACTTATAGGTTAGTGTTTCTGCCATAAATACAATAACATTAATCTTCAGCATTTGATTAAGTGTGTAATTACTCTTTTGAGGCTGTAATGGCCACTTACCCCTTAGGCTGTATCGAGTCATGCCAATGTACAGAGAAGAGATTGCCCAAAGCTAGGTCATGTAAGGGAACAGGAGTTCCCTTTGCAAATAGAAACAAACTAAAAGTTCATATTATTATTATTATAATCAAAAAGAAGCGCTAAGCCACAAGGGCTATACAGCGCTGCAGGGTGGGAAGGAAGAAAGGGGGAATTGGATGGCAGGGGGGGGGGGGATGATCAGCGGGTTTACAGAAAACAGCGGGGCAGGGGATATTTACGGGGGTAGGGGTTAGCAAGAGATACAAGTAAAAAGGGGGCTGAAAGTATCAGGAATTTGTGAAGTAAGTCAGTCGTTGTCAAAAGTCAATAAGAGAGTCGGGGGAAAGGTGGGTCCATCAGCGAGAAGGGAAGGTAAAGAGAGAGCAGCGGGGCGAAAGACGACGACAGAGGTAAATTCTGCGTGCTGGGTTGATAAAGGGGGCCCAGTCCAACAGAATGTGGCTGACTGATAATGGAGCTTGGCAATTCTCACAGAGAGGAGAAAAGACGCTCTCCATGAGATATCCATGAGTAAGACGAGTATGGCCAATGCGAAGACGGGAGAGAGTAGTCTCCCAACCTCGACACTGGTGATAAGAAGACGGCCAGTAACCTATACTCGGTTTAATAGACTGAAGTTTGTTGCCGAGCATTAGTAGACCAAACGTTTTTGCCAACGGGTGTGAAGGGGGGGAAGATATTACAGCAAAATAGTCCGTACATGGAATACCTCTGTAAGAAAATGGTAGGTCATGTATGCTGACCGGGGCCAGCAGTGTCTGCCTGTTCATTGCCATGTACGTCAACATGCCCAGGGACCCAACAAAAAACAATATCTTTTGCTTAGTAAAGATGCGGCGTAGCAAGTTGGATACGGAGGACTAAGGGGTGAGGTGTATCAAATTTTTGGGTATAGCCTGTAAAGCACTAAGGGAGTCTGAGACAACCACAAAGGGATGACACAGGCTTTAGATGCAATACGGATAAGTGCTGTAAGGATGGCATAAAATTCAGCAGTAAAAATACTAGCTGAAGTAGTAAATGCCCTTGTACGACGCTGTCCGGAAACACTGCTGCAAATTTCCTACGCCGTCAGAAGACTTAGAGCCTCTGTGTACACAGCAATGGCATGAAAATGAGAGTGAAAGTGGTCAAGAAAAAGAGAGCGGGAAGCGACCGTAGACAGTTGGGTTTTCGAGCAAGGGAGGGAGAAAGAACAGACTCGAACAGCTGGGACCTCCCAGGGGGGTAGGGAAAGTGAGTGCTACATGTACATAGAAAGGTGGTAGTTGAAGAGAAGACAAGAGCGAAGAAGGCGAAGGAGAGAAGGGACGGAGAAAGCAGGGGCGGCGAACAAATAAAGAATGTTACTAATATCAGTGACCTTTTCTATAAATGGAAGGATTGGGGAAAGATCATGAGAGCGTACATAGTAGCGCAGGCATGGGCATCACGGCGATCGGATAAGGAGGGAAACGTTCGCTTCTGCATAGAGGCTTTCGACAGGGGAAAGAGCGAAAAAGCACCAAGGCATAACGTAATCCTTGGTGTTTGAATGGGGTTAAGGCTAGAGAGAGTAGCAGGAGATGCCGCTGAATAGATCTGGTCACCATAATCAAGTTTCGATAAAATAAGGGGGGGAATGTAGGTGAAGGAGGGTTCGACGTTTCAGCTCCCCACGAAAGATGAGAAAGGGGTTTAAGAAGGTTCAGCCGGCTGTGACAAGTTGCCTTCAGAGAGGTAATGTGAGGTTTCCAGGATAACCTACGATCAAAGAGGAGGCCAGAAACTTGACTGTATCACGTTCAGGGTTTACGTGGCCATAGAGGTACAAAGGATGATCAGAGATGACAGAGCGTCTAGTGAAAGTGATTTGGTGGGTTTTAGTGCTGGAAAATTTTTAAACCCATGTGTGGTGGCCCAATTGGAAACACGGTCGACTGCATGCTGGAGAGAAACGTAAGGAGGTGGACAGTTCAGCGCCTGCACAGGCAATAGCAAAGTCATCAACATAGAGTGATGACCAAATATTTGATGGAAGACTAGAGGCCAAATCATTAATAGCAAGGAGAAAAAGTTTTGTGCTCAGAACACATCCCTGGGGGACCCCTTCAGCTTGGAAAAAAGTCCGGGGAGAGACATTTTTAAACCCCGAACACGGAAATGCCTGTCAGTTAAAAAAGTTCTTAAGGAAGGATGGTAGATTGCCTCAAAGGGCCCTAAGGAGTGGGCTTGGGCTA